CATATGTCACCATGGAGACATTAATGTCATTGATGTAATAAGTACGAACAAAAGTAACCTGAAATTCTGTGTAATGTTCTCATGATAACAGAACCCAACAGAACTTGGTATCTCATGGCCACAATGACAGATATAAAAAGTTACAGCATTTAGAAACAGCTCACCTCTCTGATGGTGGAGATCCAGGAGATTTAAAGTCAATGAGACGACCCTTTGACCTGTTGCTCTTAAAGGACACACAGCTGGGTTCTGGTTCTGGTTCTGGTTCTGGTTCTGGTCTGAGTCTCTGATGGATCCTGACAGAAACATGATGATTAAAACTGAATCGCTTCAGTCTGGATGAAGCAGCAAAGAGGAGCAGCAGCAGCTTCAGCACCACGTCTGATTGGGCCTGATGTAGTGAACGCTGTGTGAAAAGGGCTGTGGACACTTAGAGATGGTGACCTCACCTCTGACCTTTGCTCTGGCTCTCATCTTCCCCACACTGAGTGGTTTTAGAGGGAGGGACTCCCTCCTGTCTGTCCTCACACTGATCCATGCTGCTGAATTCACATCAGCTCACACACACTTTCTAGCTTCACCTGCAGAGGAAACACACATCATTTATCTGCACATCAACTCTGATCATCCTTTACATCATTAGTGCTGGAAAAAGATCAGCTGCTCCTCTGATTGGCTCTTCTTCTCTGCTTCATATCAGTGTCAGGTGAATGCAATCAGACAGCAGAGAGGCAGAGGAAGCTGCATCAGCTGCTGCACTTCTACTATCAGTCCACTAGATGGAGACATGGAGCAGCATTTACATTCACTGATTTAGCCTGCACTTCTACTATCAGTCCACTAGGTGGAGACATGGAGCAACATTTACTGATTCAACCTGAACAACAGGAAGGATTTTAGTTCATTATTAATCTCTACAAGTGGATTAAATTCACCACTAAAGATGAACTATTTAGTAATTTGACTGAATTGAACAAATTTTGCTATAATAACATTTAACTTTGAAAGGAAACAGGATAAAATTGTTGTGTCCTAATTCATCGGTGGAGAACAGAGTTTGATTCAAGGAAATGAAATTATGAATCAGATTTTTTCACAGAAGACAAAAAAAACATTTGATGTTAATCAATAATCCTGTAGATTAACCTTC